TTTCAGCCCTGACATTAAAAATCCAGGTCCTCCACAGTCACTGGCAGTTGCAGGTACATGTTTAATATCAGTATCACGAAGGCCAAGAGATTGAAAGGTGAAATACAGGAAAACATATTTGGGGTTCTTGCTTTTCTTAATACCTCTGCAACTTGATTAAGTTTTATGAAAAATTCAACTCATACCCCTTGTTATGTGTGAGTGGGCATGTTCCAGAACCTGAAATACAGGTTCAGGTCTCCTTACCCAAAACATGCCCCAAACCCCCCAGCTTACTGCTCGCTAAAACTGTTTCATAGGGCAGAGTTTAATGTGTGTGTTGACAGTGTATTTGGACTCTTTTTATGAAAGCTTTTGGCCATTTCTGTAAAGATCATCTGCCAGCAGTTATTTATTCACAGTTGCTTAATAATGTGCATTTAAAAACAAAACTGTATGTGTCTGGACATTTATGCCTTCAGCCAAGTTTAGTGCAATTATAACAATATTATGTAATAATAGTAACAACAATGACTTAATTGAGCAATCCAGGACACATGTACTGACACTACAACACCTATTTATTGCATGTAAGGTTTTCAGAGAAAATGAAATTAATTTGTAAGAAAATAAGAATTACAACTTAAAACAAGTTTCACAAGTCATAGGAAAAAAACCTGGTATCTGAATGAAGCACTTCTTTGTGTAGAAGATCTCATTTTATCGATTTCTTTAGAGCATGGAAATCATACACAGAATGTTATTGCTTAAATATCATCTGCAAACAGTGAAATGTAATGCTTGATTAATATCATACATTGATACAGTAATCTACTAAAATGGCAGTAAAATAAGTTTACAAAAGGAACAACAGTAAGATGATTTTTATCTCTACAAATGTAAGGCATAAAGAACCATTTCACAAGAAGAAATCCCTGTTAAATGTTATTGGCATTTGCAGAAGTCAAACTTACTCAGATTGACTTCATTTTAAATTAAGATGACCTAATGAAATTTAATAAAGTTATAATCCTACCTGAATTTAAATCACTCTATTTGGAAGACTCATACAATGCTTCAGTTGGGGAGTGGCAAGGCTGAAGAGTTTGTTTGGTTTTGTTGGGATTATTTTTGTAACGTGTTTAATTTTTCTAGTGACTGCTTTCAGTACTGTGAACAAACTTTCAGAAATTGTTAGGAGAGCTCCCAAGATTGAGTGTTGCCTGATGTTATTGATGAAGGACATAAGAGCTGTTGGAGAAAGTCTAGAGGAGGGCCACAAAGATGATAAGGGATTTGGAGCACCTCCGGTACAAAGACAGGCTGAGAAAGTTGGGGCTGTTCAGCCTGGAGAAGAGAAGGCTGCTTGGAGACCTCATAGCAGCCCTCCAGTATCTGAAGGGGGCCTACAAGGGTGCTGGAGAGGGACTCTTCATCAGGGACTGTAGTGTTAGGGTAAGGGATGATGGGTTTAAACTTAAATAGGAGCAGTTCAGGTTAGGTATAAGTTCTTTACTGTGAGGGTGGGGAGGTACTGGAATGGGTTTCCCAAGGAAGTTGTGAATACTCCAGCCCTGATGGTGTTCAAGGCCGGGTTAGACAGAGCCTTAGGCGACATGGTTTAGTGCAAGGTGTCCCTGCCCATGGCAGGTGGGTTGGAACTATATGATCTTAAGGTCCTTTCCAAACCTAACTGTTGTATATTTTTATGATTCTGTGGACTAATAGCTAAGAAGAGATAACAGAATTATTTACATGGTGATTTTTGCACAAGAGCATAGAGAAAGTGTGCTCAGGGCTTCTGTTTATAGCAAGAAAAAAAAAATCCATGAAAAGGGACATATTTTTCCTTAATTATTAATAGCTTTTGTATAGACCTATTTCAGCTGCATTTTCCTAAAAATGTCATACTACTATTACTAATAACTTAAGTGGACCAATCTGATGCAATACTGTTGTCGTGGTTTAAACCCAGTCAGGTAATTCGTTCGCTCACTTCCCCCCTCTTTCTTGCCCTCCCCCTGCTCTCGGAGGGACGGAGAGGAGAATCGAAAAGAATGCAACTCCCACGGGTTGAGATAAGAACAGTTTAGTAACTAAGGTATAACACAAATCACTACTGCTACCACCAATGATAATAATGATAAAGGAAATAACAAGGGAAGAGAATACAACACCTCAGCACCAGCCGACCGATAACTTGCCCCCCCTCAGCCCGACCAAGCTCCGACCGATACCTCCTCCAACCCTGCAGTCTCCCAGCCCTTCCGGCTAACTCCCAGTTACCTCCTGGGCATGACGTGCTGTGGTATGGAATACCTCTTTGGTCAGTTTGGGTCAGGTGTCCTGTCTCTGCTTCCTCCTGGCTTCCCCTCCTCCCTGGCAGAGCATGAGGCTCACAAAGTCCTTGGTCAGGGTAAACATCACTTAGCAACAACCGAGAACATCGGCTTCACCAACACTGTTCTCAAACTGGAAGTCAAAACACAGCACTGTACCAGTTAACACAAAGGAAAAACATGACTGCTACTGCGGAACCCAGGACATTATCCACCCCTTATTCCATACCATTCACGTCATGCTCAGATCCCCCATTTTCAATATGCCATCACTCTTGGTGCACTCTTAACTTAGTGCATGGACCAGTCCCTATAAAGCTGCTGAGTCCATCTGGTCCATGACGTCAGTCTCCATCTCTTGTAACAGTCTTCCAGAGCAGGAGAGACTGTGTGCAGTGTTCACACTCGTGAATAACCTGGGCAATAGTGTCCATTGCTAAGTCCACCCCTCGATCATGAGTCCATCTCTGTGTTGCATCTCTGCTCTGATGGCCTGAAGTGCCATGGGCCCACCAGGCTCAAAATAATTCACTGTCCCCTTCAGCAGTTTCTGCAGCTTGTTGCTGGGGACTCCATACAGCTGCCTTCCATCTCCAATGCTTCCAAAGCACTGGAGGGGCCCAGTGGACTAGATACTTGCCCATACTGTCCCACACACCCTGCCACTCATCACTGTCCAGCCTTGGAGAAAACCTCTTGGTCACGCTATATTGTTGTCTAACCCCAGACAAGACCCAAACCTGACTCTGCTTAACTTTTGAGATCAGACAAAATGGTTGTGGGTAGAACACAGTCTGTGTGTGTGCCAACATGCTGATCCCCATCACAATCAGCAGGCAGGTCCCAAGGACACCCAAAGGCCATTCAAAACCTTCAGAACTCTCAAACGATGCTGCTGTACTTGTCACTGGGGCTGGTGTAGCTGCTGTGCTTGCCGGCTCTCCCACCGCCAGCCTCTCTTTTCCTGAGTCCAGCTCTTCCTCCTCTGCCTTGCTGGGAAATGCTGCATGGTCTCCTGCATCCTCCTGGGGCTCGGCGGGCGGCTTCCGGGAAATGCTCTCGGCCGTCGCAGGGCTGGGCTCGGCCGCGGGGCTGGGCTCCTCCGCGGGGCTCGGCTCCTCCGCCGCCTTCTCCCGCTGCTCGGCAGCCGCCTCCTTCTGCTCCTCGACCGCCCCGACCTCCTCCACCGGCAGCCGTCCCCTCGCGGCCTCCGGCCCCGCTCCCGCCGCCGCTTGGTCCCCGGGGCCGCTCTCCCGGGCCGCTTCAGCAGCCGCCGGCTCCCGGGGCCGCTCCCCCTCGGCTCCCCGCAGCCTCACGAAGATGGAGAGTAGGGTGAGGGCCAGGGCGGTGAAGAGCAGGCGGACGGCCAGGTACAAGTCCACGGCCACGTCCGTCCCGCCCTGCTGCTGGAGCCCGCCCGTATTACAAGCCATTGCCATAAAGCACAGTGAGACAAGAACCTTAGCCCAGGCCCCATACTTGATAAACACTATCACAGCAAATACCGGCTGTACGTAAGTTACAACATTCTGAAGCTGTGAGATCAAGCGAAACAACTCTGAGAGCCAATAAATCAGCATTGTGACGAGTGACTATTAATCCAGCCAAATCTGTTGTTATCTCAACCCTTCGTGCCCCACGTTGGGCGCCAAAAAGAACTGTCGTGGTTTAAACCCAGTCAGGTAATTCGTTCGCTCACTTCCCCCCTCTTTCTTGCCCTCCCCCTGCTCTCGGAGGGACGGAGAGGAGAATCGAAAAGAATGCAACTCCCACGGGTTGAGATAAGAACAGTTTAGTAACTAAGGTATAACACAAATCACTACTGCTACCACCAATGATAATAATGATAAAGGAAATAACAAGGGAAGAGAATACAACACCTCAGCACCAGCCGACCGATAACTTGCCCCCCCTCAGCCCGACCAAGCTCCGACCGATACCTCCTCCAACCCTGCAGTCTCCCAGCCCTTCCGGCTAACTCCCAGTTACCTCCTGGGCATGACGTGCTGTGGTATGGAATACCTCTTTGGTCAGTTTGGGTCAGGTGTCCTGTCTCTGCTTCCTCCTGGCTTCCCCTCCTCCCTGGCAGAGCATGAGGCTCACAAAGTCCTTGGTCAGGGTAAACATCACTTAGCAACAACCGAGAACATCGGCTTCACCAACACTGTTCTCAAACTGGAAGTCAAAACACAGCACTGTACCAGTTAACACAAAGGAAAAACATGACTGCTACTGCGGAACCCAGGACAACTGTTTACGCAGTTTGTACTGATTTTAGTGAGATTGTAAATAGGTAGAGATTTTTATAAGTAAGTAGAGGTTTTCACAACAGTTTGGGATCATAACGAAATTATAAATGTGTAGGAAAGGGTGAATACGCATGAAGAGATAATCCAGCATAATTTATTGCTCTTGTCAGGTTTTGGGTTTTGTTTTTTTTTTCCTAAGCAATCTATTATGAGCACATTTAAATTTACAGAAAAGACTTAGCTTAAGAAAGTTTTACAGCCGCCTTAGCAGGTCTGTTGCTTGGCTTCCCATCCACAGCAGAATTATCATGATATATGTTCTAATTCTTCTTGATGTAAGGTTTAATTAATATTTCCTGTGCTTCTTTCAGTTCTCCTTCTAGTGGAGACATCAAGTAGTAGTTATAATTATCTTTTTATAAATATCTTTCAGGTATGAAGATATTTATCAAGTCCTGCACTCTTTCAGGTTCTTTGCTAGGTCTAAGTGAGTTGACTCTGTTCCACTGTAGATTTCAGTTGCTGAAAACAAGTGTATAAAATATGTTCTGGCCTTCTATTGAGAATGTCTACATCATCACCAGACTAAATTTAGATTTTGTTGTTTTTTTTTTCAGAAATCAGTGTTCTTATTCTGAACATGAAGAAACTTACAGCTGTACTGCATCAGGTGGAGCTGCAGGGGATGACTGGGACAGTTTCTTCTCCTTTCCTTTCTTATTCCTGGTGACAGCAGTTTACTATGGCTTGCAACATATTTTTTTTTTTCCTATGTTCTGTCTGCATGTTTAAATTGAAGTTTGCAGCCGATTATTATCTGTATTTTCCAAGTGAAGGTGTAAGCAATGTATTACAAGAGTAAGTTTCTTATTCCCTGTTACTGCCATGAGTGAGTAGAAACTTGGCCTGACCTGGTGGTTCCTAGTCCTCAGTAAAGTGCCAGTCAATTTTCAGATCTGATAACTGTAACTCTCACCGATAGCCTCACTTTTCATCAGCAAATGAAATTATTTTAATACTGCAGTGAATTGGAAGCATTCTAAAATAATCAAACCAGACACTTCAAACAGCACAGAATCCCACAAGGGTTTCATCCAGAAGTATTTTGAACCTTCTGGGGAAGTAGGCTTCTTCAAAAGCCGTTTTTGTTGTATATGACACCTGTCAAAAGGATTTATGCCTGCTTTTGGAGTCAATATTTCTGTAATTAGTTTTTAAACTCAATAAAAGGTGAATTATTTCCATCTGAATATGGTATTATCTACAGCAGAAGTGTATAGATTTTTAAGCAAAGAAACACTTTTTCTAGACTCTGATTACAAAGCAGTTTAATTTGAAGTGACTTCAGTGCCACACATCACTGGGGCAGTATATTCCTGCACTTCATCTGTGCTGAGCACTACTTTATTTGATCATAATGAGTCAGCTTAGAGAGCCAAGATGGCAGAAGACTTACTAAAGCAAGTACTGAAAGGATCAGTACAGAGCAAAGGCGAATACAAGACACGAGAGTAGAGACATGGCAGCAAGTAGTTAGACCAGCTTGGGTTGCCATGACCTGAGTCACATTTCACAGACCTCAGAAACAAATCATGTATTTCCAGCACCATTACAATAAAATTCAGTTGTCTGCTGTATCTCAGATCACTGCACAAGGGCTGTCTCCTTCCAAGAGATTCCCGGGTTGGCACACTCAGTTCGAGGTAAATTAATTTCACTTACTTGAAAACAAGTAGCATATTTTAAGTATTGTTACTAAATACAAACTAATTATCAATAATGCCAGGTGATTTTTCTGTCTTTATTTCTTTCTCTTTATTTTTTAAAAAGGCGTCATGGTTTATCAGACAACATATTCCTTAATTGACTTCCCCCCCCCCCCCGGCTTTAGAAAATAAGCAATTTGAACTTTACACTAATTTCATGTGCTTAACATACTTAATGTGGGTGCATAGTAATATGGCAACACTATCCTCTAGTGGCAGTTTTGTGTTAACACAAATCTCGATCTACATCAGCGTGAATTGGTTTATGTGTGTTCAAAAGATGGTATGTTGGCCACAATATTATTTATAAATTCAGAGTTCTGTTTTACATAACAAGGAATAATTAAATAATTTCTACATACAGTGTGATGATAATACATGCTTCAACACCAGCATCAGCTGCACTATATATATTTTTATGTGACTATAAACCAGACTGTATACATGATTACTTGTGACTTTGCAGACTATCAAACTTACGTAGCTGTATTCTGCTATGGTAGTTTTTTCATAGATACGTCGTTTAACATGGTAGGATCACTAGTTGGTTTTTGGTCTACTCTTGAATTCTGGCATTAAAGTCTAATTCTCTTGGTAAGAGTGTCTCTAGACACTGGTATCCACAAGCACATGAAATATCCTTAATTTTTTTTTCAGTTTGCAGTTTCAAAAATCCAGTATATAGCTTAAAGGAGAAATAAGGAAAGGCAAAAAAAAAAAAAAGAGAGAACAAACTGAGATTTCAATGCATCACTTTTTCAAAATTACCCACTAAACAGATCAGTCTAGATTGAAGGTGTAGTTGCTCACTGTGAAGATCAATGTTACAAAAAATGACATGATTTCTCACTCATCCCCTAAAAATGTTTCTGCTCTGGAAGTTTGGAAATCTATCTATGTAAAAAATACAATGAGACTAATCATATTTTAGGAGATGGGATTGTACCTTATAAATGATACCACTTAATGCACCATAAAACATAATCAGTGGATACTAAAGAGGTTATACTGACATTGATGCATATTACAGAATTCATAAAAGTTACTTGCACTTTATAAACTTCCTTTAATTCACAAGTGTATTTGTTGCTATTGTGCCAAGTTGTTTTTCTGATATCTGTACAAAGAATTCAAGGTAAATGTTTTCTTCATTTCATGTGAATTGTTAATTAAAAACCAAAAGCAAAAATAAAAACATAAAAATGCACTATTCCTTTTCCTAGTATTCAATTTATATTGCAAAATATTAGCATTTCCTTTTTTTTTTTTCTCTGATGTCTGTGCTTGGACCAAAGGAGATACTTGATCTGGGAGTTCATGTGCATAGAGAAAAGTCATTGTCTTGTCTTTGTTCCACAGTCCCCTCGAGCAGTGTTTTCTACAATGGTATAAACTACAGTAGTAGGCACCAATGTGAAAACATAAAATTTATGTCAACATAATTGTAGCCACAGAATGATAATTAGTCAAGAAATAATTCTCTTGAATGAGACAACATCTATTTTTAAAGTGTGAATGAAAACTGTTAGTACTATAAGTAGTGCCACTAAGGGTCGGATGTAGCTATTCAATGAGCACAGTTATTTTGAAAATATCATGTCAAGAGTTCAGATGTTATTACACTTGCAAGGGACTTGTCTGGGGACAAGGGACTGGAGTCTTTTGTTGCTGATTGATGAGCTTAATCCCAAATTCACATTGCTAGTGACAAAATACATAGTGGCATATGCCAGAGCATTGTGTTTCATGAACTAATGTGTCCAGTCCCCCCAAAACACAGCTGGAAGTTTACATTGCAGATTGGCTAACTTGGAAAACACCAACCAGTCATTTTGTGGGCAGTGTTTCCTACCAGTGTTTGAATGGCCATGATTATATTATCCTGTTTCCACTAGTTCTTCTCTGAAAGGTGAGAACTGTCAATGGGAAGTACAGAGAAGTCTTAGAATTCCTTCTTCTGCTATGTGTGTTCTACAGGTAAATAAAGAAATGAAAAATAATGTCAGGAAAAATAATAGCCAGATATTCTGGGGAAAATGCTAGTGAGGATCTGTGAAAGGGATCTGTATGTTAGTGACAGGATACAGTCTGGTTGCATGAAGACAGGCCTACATCACAGGTGATCAAAATAATACTGTTTATCTCTTAAGCTGTGCTAAATAAACCTGTGATGTAGAAGAGCAACAAAACTTTTGCTTCAAGTTCTCTTCAATAAGTCAGTAATACTCCCACTTGTCTGGTTCTCTTGAATTCTGTTTTGCTAGATACTGTGTATCTAAAAGTAATAATGTAAGGGCATAGGAAGATGGAGTTTACTGTAAAATGGGTTACTGTGTGTTTTTGTGCTTCTGTTTACTAAAAAATAATTTGATATTATGTTTATGAAAAACACATACTTTGATGACTCTTTGGAATATGTTCTCTTTTCTTTGTACATATTTTGCCTTGAAAAGTGAACCTTTTTAAATTTTCTTAAGAAAAATATTGTGTTTACTTAGTAAGCAGTACAATGAAACAGATACTATAATTTGCAGTTTCACGTGTTCATAATTGGCTTCACTAAGGGCAAATCGTGCCTGATAAATTGGTAGATAAGGGAAGAGCAACTGACATCTACCTGGACTTGTGCAAAGCATTTGACACTGTCTTACATGACATCCTTGTCTTGAAACTGGAGAGACATGGATTTGATGGAAGGACCACTGGATGCATAAGGAATTAGCTGAATGGTTGCACTCAAAGACTTGCAGTGAATGGCTCAATGTCCAAGTAGAGACCAGTGATGAGTCGTGTTCCTCAGGGGTTGGTACTGGGACCAGTGCTGTTCAGCATCTTTGTTGGTGACATGGGCAGTGGGATTGAAAGCACTCTCAGCAAGTTTGCTGACGACACCAAGCTATGTGGTGCGGCTGACATGCTGGAGTGATGGGATACCATCCAGAGGAACCTTGACAGGCTTGAGAGGAGGGCCAATGCCAACCTTATGAAGTTGAACAAGACCAAGGGCAAGGTCCTGCACCTGGGATGAAGCAGTCCCAAGCACAACTACAGGCTGGGCAGTGAATGGATTGAAAGCAGCCCTGAGGAGAAGGACTTGGGGATGTTTGTTGACAAGAAGCAAAACATGACCCAGTTGTGTGTGCTTGCAGTCCAGAAAGCCAACCATGTCCTAGACTGAATCAAAAGCAGCATGACCCGCAAATTGAGGGAGGTGACTCTCCCCCTCTACTCAACAATCGTGAGACCCCACTTGGAGTACTGTGCTCAGCTCTGGGGCCCCAAACATGAGAAGGACATGGACCTGTTAGAGTAAAAGTCCAGAGGAGGGCCACGAAGGTGACCAGAGGGATGGAACACCTCTCGTGTAAAGACAGGCTGAGAGAGTTGAACTTGTTCAGCCCAAAGAAGAGAAGGCCCGGGAGAGACCTTCTAGCAGCTTTCCAGTACATAAAGGGGTCTACAAGAAATCTGGAGAGAGACTTTTTACAGGACAAGTGGGAATGGCTTTAAACTAAAAGAGGGTAGATTTAGATATTGGAACAAAATTCTTTACTGTGAGGGTGGCAAGGCACTGGAAGAGGCTGCCCAGAGATGTTGTGGCTGCCCCATCCCTGGAAGTGTTTAAGGCCAGGTTGGATGCAGCTGTGAGCAACCTGGTCTAGTGGAAGGTGTCCCTGACCATGGCAGGAGGGTTTGGAACTGAATGGTCTTTAAAGTGTCTTCCAACCTAAACCGTTCTATGATTCTATGATAATTGCAAGAATATTGCCTTAAATATAACTATATAAATTTAAGAATTATAGTGAAGCATTTGGAGACATTATATTTTGCTATAAAGCATTATAGTTTAATAGTTTATTGTTTAGGATTCCAGTACAGGTTTTTTTTTTTTCAGTGTTTCATTGAATTATAGAATAGACATTAGAAGAGCTCTGTAATAAACACAGATTTTCTTGTCTATTATGTTTTGAAATGGGCTTGACTGCTAGCTCTGCAGAACTGAATTAGCAGGAGAAATTGCACAGAAAGAATAGCCAGAGCTCCTTGAATAATACCCTTCTCTGCTGACCTACAATATGGTTCATTTTATGTACTCATTTAAAATTTGGGCTGCCTGGTAATTTGAAAACAAAGAGTACAATAATGGCAGAGTCTTCTAATAGAAATCTGTAAATAAATACAGGAAATAAAATCATCAAATATATTTCTTACAGGTCACTGAAGAGCTGTAATATCATGTGCAGATAATAGTTGCATTCTAGTGATATGGAAAATGTGAACTTGCAATCTAGCACGGTTATGATCTATTTCCTAATAACTGAATTGTATTATATATTAATATATATAATGAATGAAATTTATAAATAAAATATAATCTATAATATTTGTACAATTTAATATAACATAATATAAATATAAAAAGTAAAAATATAATTAATGTATATATTAATATATATATTAAAAAAACCTGTTACAGTAGAACTGCAGGCTGTGTGCAATGATTAGAATATTAGATCTTTCATATGGTGGATATGTCACTTTGTAAAAAGCTTCACTGAATTCAGTTCATTAGGGCAGATGTTCTCACACTTTAGTGTGAGTAAGGATATCATCTTGCAAGGCAGCAGAATCTTATTCATTGGCTAAGAAATTTTACTGGCAAAATGTCTCTGTTTTTTCTGGTTGTTGACTGAAAACATAATAAATTAAAATTTAGTATGCAACAGAGGATAGAAGAAACAAGAACATTGAAGAGACTGACTTTGATTTGCAGAGGCTGCTTTTCCACTACAATTTCAGTTATGCCAGTGGAAAGTATGCCTTCTCTTTCTCTCTGTTGACACTATACCATATATCTGGAAGCCGTTGGTCTTAAAAAAGGGCCTTGACATCTCCAGTTAGAGAAAGCAGACCAACTGTATGTGGCAGAGCTATGACAACAAGTCTGAAAATTTGTCTTTACTGATTTCTGTTACTGTTGGGTTAGATCTGATGCAAAACTTTCAATATCAACCCACTTTTATGTGTATTACTGCCTGAACCAAATACCTAGAAAGTATTGTTACTTTTTAGTATACATTAAATAGACAGATCATACAAGCATGTGCTAGGAATTTATTTGAATTTAATAGGATGCATAAGAAACTTAAAAATTTTAAAATTTAAATAAACTGCAGTGTAGCTGTCTTTGTAATGTAGAACTATAGAGAACAGAATCCTCTGCTGAGTTAGACTCATCATCCAACTGATCATTCTTTCTAGAATAAAAGAACTTTGTGATTGTGACCAGGTGGAAGCAAGGACAGGCGGCTTGGGAAGAATAGAGGGATGTTATACGGGAAGCTAGGGACCATGTGAGGAAAACTAAGGCCCAGTTAGAATTAAACTTGGCTAGGGAAATGAAAGATAACAGGAAGGGATTCTATGGTTACATAGCAAATAAAAGAAAGACTGGGGACAACGTGGGCCCTCTCCGGGAGCTATCAGGAGAACTGGCTACCCTGGATTTGGAAAAGGCTGAGGTTCTTATTGACTTTTTTGCCTCAGTCTTCACTGGCAAATGCTCTACCACACCACCCAAGTCTTGGAAGGCAGATGCAGGGACTGTGAGAATGAAGACCTTGGGCCCACTGTAGGAGAGGAACTGGTTCGAGACCATCTTAAGAACCTGAACGTGCACAAGTCGATGGGACCTGATGAAATCCATCCGTGGGTCCTGAAGGAGCTGGCAAATGAAGTTGCTAAGACACTGTCCATCATATTTAAAAAAACATGGCAGTCAGGTGAAGTTCCCAATGACTGGAAAAGGGAAATATAACCCCCATTTTCAAGAAGGGGAAAATGGATGACCCGGGGAATTACAGACCAGTCAGTCTCACCTCTGTGCCTGGTAAAATCTTGGAGCAGATTCTCCTGGAAGGCATGCTAAGGCACATGAAAAACAACAAGGTGCTTGGTGACAGCCAGCATGGCTTCACTAAGGGGAAATCCTGCCTGACCAACTTGGTGGCCTTCTATGATGGGGCTACAGAGCTGATGGACAGGTGTAGAGCAGTTGATGTCATCTACCTGGACTTGTGCAAAGCATTCAACACTGTCCCTCACGACATCCTTGTCTCTAAATTGGAAAGACATCAATTTGATGGATGGACCACTTGATAGGTAAAGAACTGGCTGGATGGCCGCACGCAAAGAGTTGTGGTCAAT